GGACAGGAGAAAAAAAATAGTGCACTCTCAGAAAATATGATGGTTGCACAGGTCATCCCTGTAACCTGTTACTGGATATGTTTTCATATCCTCATCCCTGTAACATGTGTTACTGGATATGTCAAAAGGGAGTTTGCAAATGTGGTCTAGTTAAGGATCTTTAGATAGACATTATCCTCGATTATATGGTCAAAGTGATAGAACCACAAGGTTCAATATCAGAAGGATGCAGGTACACCCTGAGGGACAGTGGTGATCTGTTGCAAATAGAAGGATAAAACCAATTTTATCTCGCCTTTAAAGATAGAGGAAGCAGGCCGGGCGCGGTGGCTCATGCCTGTAATCCAGCACTTTGGGAGGCTGAGGCGGGCGGATCACAAGGTCAAGAGATCAAGACCATCCTGGTTAATGTGGGGAAAAGAAAGAGATCAGCCTGTTACTGTGTCTATATAGAAAGAAGTAGACATAAGAGACTCCATTTTGTTCTGTATTTGAGATGCTGTTAATCTGTGACCCTACCCCCAACCTTGTCCTTGCAAGAGACAAGTGCTGTGGTGACTCAAGGTTTAATGGATTTTGGGCTGTGCAGGATGTGTCTTTGTTAAACAAGTGCCTGAAGGCAGCTTGCTGGTTAAAAGTCATCACCATTCTCTTAATTTCAACTACCAGGGACACGTACACGGCCAAAGGTCGCAGGGACCTCTGCCTAGGAAAGCTAGGTGTTGTCCAAGGTTTCTCCCCATATGAGAGGCCGAAACAATGCTGCTAAAAGGTTTATGGAGATGTTTGCATATGCATCTCAAGGCACAGCATTTTCCTTTAAACTTATTCGTGTCACAGAGATTTTTGTTCATATGTCTTACTGCTGATTTCCTCCCTACAATGATCCTATTGTCCAGCCACTCCCTTATCTTTAAGATGGTAAAGATAATTATCAATAAATACTAAGGGAACTCAGAGACCGGTGCCCGCGTGGGTCCTCTGTAAGCTGAGCGCCGGTCCCCTGGGCCCACTTTTTCTTTCTCTATACTTTGTCTCTGTGTCTCATTTCTTTTCTCAAGTCTCTTGTTCCACCTAACGAGAAACGCCCACAGGTGTGGAGAGGAAGGCCACCCCTTCAGGTTAACATGATGAAACCCTGTCTCTACTAAAAATACAAAACATTATCTGGGTGTGCTTGTAGTCCCAGCTACTCGGGAGGCTGAGGAAGAGAATCGCTTGAATCGGGGAGGTGGAAGTTGCAGTAAGCCAAGATCACGCCACTGCACTTCATCCAGGGACACAAGAGTGAAACTCCGTCTCAGAAAAAAACATGGAGGAAGTGGACTATGAGTCAGAGGATGTAAGTGGCCTCTGGAACCTATAAAGGGTAAGGAAATAAATTCTTCCCTGGAGATTCATGAAGAATCACAGAACTGTGGACCCATATTAGATATGTGACCTACAGAATTGTGAAAGAATAAATCTTTGTTTTAAGCCAATCACTGTGTGGTAGCAGTAAGAATCTGATGAAATAATTTTATGTAGAAAATTCCAAAAAATCTACAAAAATCTCTAAACAAGAAAAATGTAAAGGTGGCAAGGTGTAAGATCAACATACAGCAATCTTGTATATTTCATCAGCCAGGCATGGCAGCTCACGCCTGTAATCCCAGCACTTTGAAAGGCCAAGGCAGGTAGATCGCTTGAGTGCAGGAGTTTGAGACCAGCCTGGGTAACATGGCAAAACCCTGTCTCTACAAAACACGAAAATTAGCAGGCCATGGTGGCACGCACCTGCAGTCTCAGCTACTCGGGCAGCAGGGGTGGGAGGATCACTTAAGGCTGCAGGACACAGGTTCCACTTAGCTGACATCGTTCCACCGCACTATACCCTGGTGACAGAGTAAGACCTTGTCTCAAAAAAAAATAATAATCTTGCATATTTCTGTACACTAGCAATTTACACATGAAAGCTGATATTAAAAATAAAATACCATGTATGATTGCTCCATTAAAAATATAGGTCAGCCGGGCATGGAGGAACATGACTGTAATTCCAGCACTTTGGGAGGCCAAGGCGGGCAGATCACTTGAGGTCAGGAGTTTGAGACCAGCCTGGCCAACATGGTGAAACCCCATCTCTACTAAAAATACAAAGATTAGCCGCAGTGATGGTGTGTGCCCATAATCCCAGCTAATTGGGAGGCTGAGGGAAGAGAATTGGTTGAACTCAGGAGACAGAGGTTGCAGTGAGCCAAGATCACACCAATGTACCCCAGCCAGGGCAAAAGTGAGATTGTGTCTCAAAAAAAAAAAAAAAAAGTCAAAGAAATACGTGTCAAAATATTCACAGAACTGTTATGTTAAAACTAAAAAATTCTGATGAAGGAAACCAAAGACACCAAATACAGACACATATACAATGTACATTTATTGGAAGATTCTACTGAAAGCAAAATGAAATTATACCAAATTGACACACAGGGTTAACACATTTCCTAATCAAGGCATTCTGCAGATACTAACAAAGTTATCCAATTATGTAGAAAGGCAATGAAACAAACAAAAAACCCCAAACTCCGAAATCTAAAATAGCTAAAACATCCGAATCACAACAGAAAGACTGAAATCACTTCATGTGATTTTAAGTCTTCTAACATAGTAAAAGCACTTTTTTCCTTTTTCATATTTACAGGAAACCCAGTTTGTACTTCCAATTGTCTTGTGTTGCATACTAATGTCACAACATTTTCTTTCCACACAACATGTGGCCTCTAAATTTTCACTCAAGTAAGACACTGAAGAAACGTATTAAACAAGGAATCTGGGCTGCAATTTATAAAAAAGATTTTTAGTGGCCGGGCGCAGTGGCTCAAGCCTGTAATCCCAGCACTTTGGGAGGCCGAGACGGGCGGATCATGAGGTCAGGAGATCGAGACCATCCTGGCTAACACGGTGAAACCCCTTCTCTACTAAAAAATACAAAAAACTAGCCGGGCGAGGTGGTGGACGCCTGTAGTCCCAGCTACTTGGGAGGCTGAGGCAGGAGAATGGCATAAACCCGGGAGGCGGAGCTTGCAGTGAGCTGAGATCCGGCCACTGCACTCCAGTCTGGGCGACAGAGCGAGACTCCCTCTCAAAAAAAAAAAAAAAAGATTTTTAGTGTAACTCATATAAAGAAGCACAAAATAAATTTTTTTGAGACAGTGTCTCCTTCTGTTATCCAGGCTGGAGTACAGTCGTACAATCAAGGAAGACTGCAGCCTCAACCTTCTGGGATCAAGTGATCCTCCTACTGCAGCACCCCTAAAAAGTTGGGACCACAAGTGTGCGTGACTCCACCCGGCTATTTTTAAAATTTTTTTGTAGACACGAGCTTTTGCTCTGTTGCCCAGGCTGGTCTTCAACTTCTGGGCTCAAGTGATTTTTCCCACCTTGGCCTCTCGAAGTGCTGAGATTACAGGTGTGAGCCACCCTACTCAGCCCTAAAAAAATTGCCTCATACCATAATCTGACAACGACATTTCCACAGCTTTTGGCAAAATGCTCTTCTAGTAAAATCTTATCTATTGTATAATAAATATATATCAATAAATATTTGAACAAATACTGATTTTATAATAAACACTTTTCTACAATAATTTTCATGGAACTAGGGTAAAATATATCTCAGGCAACTTCATTAGACACTTTACTAAACAGTAATTCACAAGCATTTTCAACAATCACAGGTGCAGTGAAACCTACATGTCCAGCCAAGAGGAATGTAACCAGCTATCACCACCAAGAAAACTGGGGTCTCTCCCAACCAAGAAGTGCTCCCTCATTTGGCACCGGGTGGAAGTTCAAACCACAAATATGTACCCAAACCCCAGCCTTACCCTTCAACAATCATAACACCCAAAGTAGTCACCTATCCCAGTTCTTTCATGACATTTTTGGACCAACTGGGGAAGTCTAAGCTGCTTTCCTCAGAAAGCCTTATTATGTAATAAACATTCTCAGACCACTTCAGTATATAGCATCATCATTCCCAATATCCAAGTCAAACCTTAGGTGGACGTCAAACAAGTTCTAGTGGAGGCCAGGTGCATGGCTCACGCCTGTAATCCTAACACTTTGGGAAGCTGAGGTGACTTGAGCCCAAGAGTTGCAGTCCAGCTGGGCAACATTGTGAAACATCTTTAACGAAAAACAACCCAAAATTAGCCGGGTGTGCTGGTGTGCGCCTGCAGTCACAGCTATTCATGAGGCTAAGGTAGGAGGATCACTTGAGCCGGGGAGGTTGAGGCTGCAGTGAACCCTAATTGTGCCACTGCACTCCAGCCTGTGCAAGAGACCTTGTCTCAAATTTTTAAAAAAATTTTTTTCAAGGTTCTAGTAGAGTGGGCAAAAGTTCAAATTACCACAAAGGTTGTGAGGGTGAATATATGAAGTTCCAAGTTAAAATAGCAAACAAAGCAAAACACAATTCCCTTCTGTGTGTCCACCCTTAAGAGGAAATTTATGAACATTAATAATTTCAAATTATGTCACTGAGCACAAGAACAAAAAAGAGATTGTTACACTATTTTTAACCTTATCCCCACATTTTTATCTCATAATATTTGTCATATTTGTATTTTTGCTTCATAAAAATGAAAGTGTGTGCCATGGGTCTAATTTGGCACACAAGAAAAAGGCACATAGAAATATGATACAGCGAACATTCGCCAAGGGCGATGAACACATCTGAGGGTATAGGATGCTGGAATTGCACTGCTATGGGATTTTCACTGTACCCACAGAAGCATTCTAGGGCAGAGTACAGACACAATCATTCAAGTACTAAATATGATTGCTCATATTCACATTTACCTAAGGATATGTACCCAAAGGACATGTTGTTTCATTTCACAACCAGAAAACTTGCTCTGGATGCTCCAATCTTAAAATCCCAATGGTGCACTACTGTGTGCAAGTATCCATCTTCCTGAGGTGGGATGAAATTATGATGGTAGAAAAGACATGATTCACTCACTTAGGAAAAATGAAACTTTATTAGTACAAACATGAGAGCTACATACATTCTAAATCAAACAGTTGCAACTTATAATGCCAAGAACTAAATGTGAATCCTACTCAAGAATATGCTGATCTGTCTGGGCGCGGTGGCTCATGCCTGTAATCCCAGCACTTTCCGGCTGAGGCGGATGGATCACCTGAGGTCAGGAGTTTGAGACCAGCATGGCCAACATGGTGAAACCCCATCTCTACTAAAAATACGCACCTGTAATCCCAGCTACTTGGGAGGCTGAGACAGAAGAATTGCTTGAAACAGGGAGGCAGAGGTTGTAGTGAGCCGAGATTGTGCCACCACACTCCAGCCTGGGTGACAAGGGTGAGACTCTGTGTCATATAAAAAAAGAATATGCTGATCTGGTCATTTTGATTAAACGCTCAACTGTGATATCTGTTCTTTCTTCCATTTCAAAAATGAGGCTGGGCGCAATGACTCATGCCTGTAATCCCAGCACTTTGGGAGGCTGAGGTGAACGTATCACTTGAGGTCAGGAGTTGGAGACCTGCTTGGCCAACATGGTAAACCCTGTCTCTACAAAAAATACAAAAATGAACTGGGTGTGGTGGCACACACCTGTAGTCTCAGCTACTTAGGAGGCTAAGGCAGAAGGATTGCTTGAACCCAGGAGGCGGAGGGTGCAGTGACCCAAGAACACACCACTACACTCCAGCCTTGGCAACAGAGTGAGACACTATCTCAGGGGGAAAAAAAAAAAACTATTTCTCATCAGTCTTTGCTAAACAGCAGCTACTGCTATTCAATGGAGAAAGCATCTACCTTTTTCCTTGCATTATTTCTACTATATAATCAGACACTAGCAACCTATTACTCTCTTCCCATTAATAACCCATGCCTTAAGATCACGGCATACTCTATTTCATGGTCAGTTGGTGGCAACTGAAGCACTGTGCACTTAGGTCGGGAGAAAGTGTGTTGACTGCAACAGTATGATGATGGTCATCAGAGTTTTATATTACTCTGCCCACTTCTCCATGCTCTCTAAATCCGACAATATTTAATCTGAAAAGGCAATGTCCTTCTTCATCAGGAAACTGGATAGAAATAATCCTCAGCTAATGAATTCAGTCCTGTCATCCTACTGATTCTTTCCCAGGAAACACAGTGAATGGCCTGTATGGAAGGCACGTGAAGAGATTTTAAAGTCATAAAGTAGCCTTTTCTACGGACCCCAAATAATTGAATTTTTTGTAGTCTGAATAAAAGTGGTCATTTACATACCGTTGCACCTTTGATATACATCATGTCATGAGAATCAACATACGTTGACTTAGCATTATTCTGCAGAATGCAATATCATAGATTAATATCAGAGAACTAGAGATTGAGTTCCTTCTTGTGTAAATCCTATCTGTGTTCTATAGTAATGGTCCTTGAATAATGACCCGAGTACACACAATCCATCTGTGTGGTTTCACCCTCCACAGTGATGTGGTGATAAAGCCTGTGTCACACACATTTAATTTATGATTTCCAGTTAGTATGGACTCTCTGATGTTGATTAATGCTAGAATTCATGATGATGGTTTGCCATACACAGTTCGTAGGGACTCTCATGAATGAATTCTCTGATGCTGTGCAAGGTCGGAATTGTGACTAAAGACCTTAATGCACAGGGTGCATTTGTAAGGTTTCTCTCCAATATGAATTCTATGGTGATTGGTGAGGGAAGACTTGTGAGTGAAGATCTTGCCACATTCTTTACACTCATGAGATTTCTTCTCAGTATGGATTGCAAGATGGGCAGTAAGGCCTGAACACCCTCGAAATGCTTTGCCACATTTATTACATCTGTAAGGCCTCTCTCCAGTATGAATTATTTGATGTCTTGTAAGGTATGACGCTTGATTAAAGACCTTGCCACATTCATTACATTTGTAAGGCTTCTCTCCTGTATGAATTTTCTGATGGCATACGAGGTTTGAACTCCGACTGAAGACCTTGCCACATTTGTTACATTTGTAAGGCTTCTCTCCAGTATGAATTCTACGATGACTGGTTAGAGAAGACTTGTACCTGAAGACTTTGCCACATTCTTTACATTCGTAAGGTTTCTCTCCACTATGGATTAGAAAATGGGCAGTAAGGTCTGAAAACTCTCTAAACGCTGTGCCACATTTATTACATTTGTAAGGTTTCTCATCAGTATGAATTTTTCGATGTCGTATAAGGTCTGATTTCTGACTAAAGATCTTGCCACACTGATTGCATCCGTAAGGTCTCTCTCTAGTATGAATTCTCTGATGAGAGGTCAGTAAACACTTGCGCCCAAACACCTTGTCACATTCTTTACATTTGTAAGGTTTCCTTCCAGTGTGAATTAGCTGATGGGTTATGAGGCTGGAACGCACTGAAAATGCTTTGCCACATTCTTTACATTTGTAAGGTTTCTCACCAGTATGAACTGTTTGATGTTCTGCTAGATATGAATGGCGACTAAAGACCTTGCCACATTTATTACAACTGTAAGGTTTCTCTCCAGTATGAATTTTTTCATGTCGTACAAGGTGTGCAATTTGATTGAAGACCTTGTCACATTCATGACATTTGTAAGGCTTCTCTCCTGTATGAATTCTTTGATGTTGTGCAAGTTTTGAACTGCTTCGAAAGACCTTGTCACATTCATGACATTTGTAAGGTTTCTCTCCAGTATGAATTCTTTGATGTTGTGAAAGGTTTGAATTGCTACTAAAGAGCTTGCCACATTCATGACATTTGTAAGGCTTCTCTCCAGTATGCATTCTTCGATGTATCACAAGCTTTGAACTGCAACTAAAGACCTTGCCACATTCATTGCACTGGTAAGGATTATCTGCATTACGGATTACTTGATGGTTAGAAAGGCTTGCAGATGCTCTAAAGACTTGGCCAAGCTCATTACATTTATAAGCTTTTTCCCTAATGTGTGCTTTCTGTTCTTGTGGAAGTAATGGAGCATCATCAAAATTATTTCTATGTTTATTTAAAAGGTGGGATTTGACACTGGAAGAAATTTTTTCAAGCAGTGAAACTGAGAAGTTGTCACTGATGAGTTTTTCAATATGCTTAGACCCAGAAATTTTCCTTTCAGCTTGAAATAGCTGCAGATCATTCAGATGTAACTGAGAAGTGAATCCAAGTTGACTTTTACAAGGCTTATTTCCTGCATTACTTCCCAATTTAGAGCTCCTCTCTAAAACAGAAAGAAAAGAATGGAACTTCAACCCATGATAATGGCATCTTTAGTGTCTGACAGAGGGTCCAGATTCTGCCTCACCTAACTCAGACATTGGTAGGAGTTTCAGCATATTGTGTATATCATGCTGGCAGTGCAGAAAACAGAAGGAACTGAGGTGATGCATTGGAGCAGTGGGGAATCTGCAGGAGTCAAGAGAATTATGGGTAAATCTGAAAGAGATTATGAGCAGAGAAATACAACAGAAACTGAAAGCTTCTGGGAAGAAGCAGGGATGAGCCTCTTAGGGAAAATCAGAAAGCCGAGAGCAGCTGCAGAGACATTAATAATGGTACTTCCACAAACCAGAAAAATCACATCCCCAGAAAAGGACTGAGTGTTCCCACATGTAGGAAGCTAAAGGCCCAAGAGATGTGACCAACTCAGCATTCCACTGGAGAATATATGATCAAACAGCAAACTGTTTATCATGAATGCAGGATGTGGGCAAACTCACGACTGTACCTGCCACCAGAAGATTTGCTGAAGGCAATCACTCCCTGGTGCCGTGCTCATTGAAATTATCTACTGGGACATCTAGAGCCTATTGTTTGAAGAATGCAGTATTGCAAGCGTGCTGCAAACTAAGCCGCTGACCAATAATCACCACCCCCCTTTCCCTATCTCCTTTACCCAATAAAATGCAAAGGGCTCTAAAGCTCAGGGTCCTTGTTTAATAGAAGCCAGGAGCCCCCAACCCCTTCTTCCAAATATACTCCTTTGTCTTTTATTCCCACATTTGCCCCCTTTGTTCAGTCCCCCAAGGTCTGTGCAGGTGGCAACTGGTGACCCAGAACAGGGACTCCAAGGATGTCTACAAGTGGCCTCCGAACACAGGACTTTGAGGACACAAAGAAGGTTCTGCTGGAGCAGAGGAACTGAAATTGACAAGGTGAACGCGGAACCCTGGATGAGTATGCTGGCAGCAGATATAAGGTCAGTGCCCTAAAGAGGTACTAAGAGCGATACAAGGTCACTGCTCTAAAGTACTGGGAACGGTAAGTTTTCTGAATCAGGGTAACATGGGGCAGAATTTGTCTGCTGAAGAAAAATACTATGTGCAGTTGTTTAATCTATTGAGACAGTCTGGAGCTCAGGTTAATTCACAGACATTAAGCCTCTGTAGGAGATTATTATGCATAACCCATGGTTTCCACAGGCAGGCGCTCTTGATGTGGAAAACTAGGACAGAGCAGAAGGATTAAAAAAGGCTCATCATAAAGGTCTTAAAGTTGCTTCTTCTGTCTTCTCCACGTGGAGTCTAGTTTGTACTGTTCTGCCATTATCTCATTATTCTGCTGGGCAGCAGGTTGAGTCTAAAAATCTGAATCTGTTGTCCCACCCGCAGCACCAATTGAAAATAAAAAACACGAGAGGGAGGATAAAAATTGTTTTTTACCGCCCCCTCCAGTTGCAGGCACAACTGTACCACTTCCTTTGGGAGCAGAAATAGAGACCCCAGTACAAAGAATTTTACACTCTGCTGCCACAGCTGGAGAGCCCTTAGGACCTTGCACTTTTCCTATTTCCATCAGGCCTGATCCAATCTGCACCAGTTTATTCATGAAAATACCCTGCTAGAGTTTAGTTGTTGAAGGAATTAAAAACGACTGTAGTTAATAATGGAATACTGAACTCACTCACTTCAGGATTGCTAGAATCCGTATTCGGTGCTATGTGCCTTCTACTTTTTGATGTAAACTATTTGGCTCAAACTTGTCTGCTAGTGCATATCTGACATGGAATTTAAACTAGCAAGAACTGTGCAGACCAAGCTAGACAGAATCTTGCCGCTTGTCAAGGAGACATTACAGAGGATATGCTATTGGGTAATGACCCTTATTCAGACCTGGAACATTACATGGCACTCCCAGATCCTGCTTATCAGCAGTGTTCACAGGCTGCTAAATGCGTATGGGTCACAATTCCAGAAGAGGGAGTCTCAGTACAATCCTTTTTGCATATCATGCAAGGGTTGTAGGAGCCCTATGCGCTATTTCTTGCAAGATTACAAGAGGCAGTGAAGCGTCAAATTCCTCACACCGCTGCTGCCGAAATGTTAACCTTAACTTTAGCTTTTGAGAAGGCAAACATGGATTGTAAATGCACACTGGCACCTGTAAAGTGTATAAAAAATGTGGGAAACTTTCTCAGAGCTTGTCAGGATGTAGGAACTGAGCTTCATCGCTCTTCAATGTTAGCTGAAGCATGGCTAATTTAGTACTTGACAAATCTAAAAGCAGCAAAGGATCAAACCCTAAAGTGGAAAAATGTTATACCTGCAGAAAAACCAGACATTGAAAAAAGGAAGGCCGCCAGATTTCAGGACAGAAAGGACCTTACAATGCAGTGCCCCCCTCCAGTGGAAAAAACGGCAGGACTCTGTCCTCACTGTAACAAGCGAAATCACTGGGCTAATCAGTGCCACTCAAGGTTTCATCAGAATGGCACCCCGCCCCCCTAGGTTGGGAAACAAGAAGGGGGCCTGGACCCAGGCACCTCAAACAATGAGGTCATTCTTAGTTCAGACCACAACCCCATTTCAGGGGTGGGTCCCAGGAGAAACATTGATTCTCTCACCCCAGAAACACCAGGAAGTACAGGATTAGATCTCCCAGTCAGAGAAATAACAGTAGTTGGTGGAGACAAACCCACCAAAATTCCCACTGGCATTTGGGGACATTTACCAACAGGATACATGGGACTAATTTTAGGCAAAAGCCGCCTTAACTTGCAAGGCATCACTGTAGTCCCAGGACTGATTGACTCCGATTATGAAGGAGAAATACAAGTAGTTTTAATCTTATAAGATCTTTGGGTTTTTGAACCGGGAGAATATACTGCTCAGCTATTGCTTAGTCCCTGCAAATTACACCTGTCTTCACAAAACAAGAAACGAGGAAATAAAGGCTTTGGGAGCACAATTACATGGGAAATCTATCCCAACCCACAGCCTCTAACAGACCCACCTGCGTAGTACAAATTAAAGGAAAGAAATTGTATGGGTGAATGGACACAGGAGCTGATGGGTCAGTAATATCCAGTAAAGACTGGCGCCCAGCATGGTCTCTGAGACTAACCTCCACATCCCTAGTGGGAGTAGGAGCAGCTAAAAGTATTCAATAGAGTGCTGAGATTTTACCTTGTCTTGGTCCGGATGGACAAGCACGTACTTTCCAGCCTTATGTTGCAAATACAGCCATCAATTTACAGGGTCAAGACTTACAGCATGGGATGAGAGACTTACGAATGAAAACTTTGGTAACCCAGGATTTAAAATGTTGAAGGACATGGGATATCAGAGTAGAAAAGGCTTAGGGAAATTCCTACAAGGAAACCCTAATCCGTTATCAGTAACTGGAAAAACAGAAAAGGGCTAGGACGTCAGGATTTCTGACAGGGGTCATTGATATTTCTCCTCCACCCACTGCCTTACCATTAGAATGGCTTAGTGACAAACCTGTGAAGGTGGACCGATGGCCCTTAACACAGGAGAAGCTAGATTGACTTCAACTGTTGGTAAAAGAACAATTGAACGCAGGACATATGCAGCAGTCAGTCCCTGGAATTCACCAGTATTTGTTATTCCAAAAGAGTCTGGAAGATGGTGATTGCTGCATGATTTGAGAGCTATTAATGCACAAATTAAACCAATGGGTGCATTCCAGCAGGGTTTTACCTTCCCCGGTAGCCACAGACTGGCCTCCTGTAGTAATAGATTTCAAGGATTGTTTCTTTACCATTACACGAGAAGGATAAGCCTCAATTTGCCTTCTCTGTGCCTTCTGTTAATTATAGAGAACCTGTTTCTTGCTATCAATGGAAAGTTTTACTTCAAGGCTTGCTTAACAGTCCTACATTATGTCAGCATTTTGAGGGAAGAGCATTAGAGGAGCCTCAAAGTATGTTTCCCACTGCGTATATCATTCATTTTATGGATGATATTCTTTTGGCCGCTCCTACAGATCAAATTTTACATCAATTATTCAGAGATGTAATGCAAGCTCTTGTTAAATGGAATCCCAAAATTGTTCCAGAGAAAGTGCAAATAACTTCCCCATACCATTATGAAGGAAATACTGTTACAGAGAGGAGTGTACGGCTTCAGAAAACAGTTCTTGGTAAAGACACATTATAGACTTTAAATGATTTTCAACAATTACTAGGAGATATTAATTGGCTACACCCAATGCTAGGTATTGCCACCTATCAACTTACACATCTTTACCAAACCCTGCAAGGAGAGTCTTCCTTAAATTCCCCATGGCAATTAAGAGGCTGAAGAAGAATTATGGCTTGTAGAGCAAATGCTTCAGCAGAGACATGCCTCCTGGCTACAGCTACAGAAACCTTTGCTTTTGTTTATTCTCCCTACCCCCTATTTCCAATAGAACTTTTAGGTAGGCCAACGCTTAGATAAATCTGTAACAGTAATACATAAACACAAAGGGGAAGACATAGGGAGCCGATGGCCCGAGAGACGTGACCAACTCAGCATTCCACTGGAGGCTTTATGACCAAACAGCAAACTATTTATCATGAATGCAGGATGTGGGCAAACTCATGACTGCGCCTGCCACCAGAAGGTTTGCTGAAAGCAATCACTCCCTGGTGCTGTGCTCATTATCTACTGGGACATCTTGAGCCTATTGTTGAAAGAATGCAGTCTTGTAAGCCTGCTGTAAATCAAGCCACTGACTGACAACCACCACCCCCTTCTCCCTCTATCCTTTACCCAATAAATTGTGAAGGGCTCTAAAGCTCAGGGCCCTTGTTTACTAGAAGCAAGGAGCCCCCTGACCTTTTCTTCCAAATATACTCTATTGTTTTTGTCTTTTATTCCCACGTTTGCTCCCTTTGTTCAGCCCCCCAAGGTCCATGCAGGTGGCACCCACATCCTTTACAACAGGTTGATTTGTAAAGGTCTCACCCTGTACAATTCTTAGACAAAAGAACTGGAACAGTCAGTGCAGTGGCTCATGCCTGTAATCCCAGCACTTTGGGAAACCAAGGCAGGCTGGACAACTTGAGGTCAGTAGTTAGAGACCTGGCTGGGCATGGTGGCTGATGTCTATAATCCCAGCACTTTTGGAGGCTGAGATGAGTGGATCACCTGAGGTCAGGAGTTCGAGACCAGCCTGACCAATAAAGTGAAACCCCGTCTCTACTAAAAACACAAAAATTAGCCAGGCGTGGTGGTGTGCGCCCAGAGTCTCAGCTACTCAGGAGGCTGAGACAAGAGAATTACTTGAATCTGGGAGGTGGAGGTTGAAGTGAGCCAAGATCACACCACTGCACTCCAGTCTGGGCAACAAAGACTCTGTGTCAAACAAGAAAAAAAAA